TGAAACTAACATGCCAGGAGGAACTTAAAATTGTTTTGCATTTGTTCTCAACAGCAAGATCTGTCCAATTTAACGCAAAAAGGGAGAAAGAAAAGTGAAACAGGTTGAATCGTCAAAATCTGGCATTCTCCTATCTATATGCGGAAAAAAACTAAGGATTCTGTTTTTATCCTTTTAGTACAACATAGATTCAATGTCTCAACGCTGCTTTTGGTTGATAATGAAAATCTGCAAGAGTTCGAATTTTCACTTATAAGCTACAAATTTCCCTAGCTCACATGCATGCGCGCGTATGGAATGTTTGGTGCAAACGCTAAAAAGAAACATGTCTGTTACCCATCAAATTTCAACACAAAATAATTTGCAAAAATCAATCTAAAAATCATGAAAACTATAATATCCTTGGTAGAATATTCTGATTTGTAATATTAATAAAAACAAAAATGGAAACAAGCAGATAAAATAGCAGCCTAATCAGCATCCTCTCTATTATTTTATACATATATATATAAAGAAAAACAGTACCACAACACAACTTAGGATGGCGATAGATAGAGCAATTCTTCTGAATGAATATTGATGATTTTTTGATAACAGAAAGAAAATATATATAAAAAAGAAGTTGCCTGGGTTGATCAGCTCAAGGACTAAATGCTTTCACGCAATTAAGCTTCTTTAGCTTTCGAAAGAAAGACTTGAAAAATCGGCTTTTGATGGCTCCTCGCCTTGGGACGGTGAAACTTCCAGATGGCGCCCCCATTTTCTTTGGTTTTTCTGCAGGCTTGTCTGAAAATGGGGTATTTGCAGATTCTGGAACCACCCAATTCTCCATGTCCATGCTCTTTTTCTCCATCTTTATGTGAGTTTGTGTGAGTGAATGAGAAAGAGACTATTTATAAATCTTTGAACTCGCTTAAAGCTCATCATCCTGAAAGCTTGAAATCAACGCTTCCATTTCATTGTGGAAATTACAAGGAAATTTCCAAGTGTCTATAGTAAGACACTGGGATTTTTGGGAACTGCGGTTAAATGTAAAAAATTGAAAATATAAAAATTAAAACACAGAACTCCACTTGAAAAAATTGCAGAAAAAATGATAGCAAACATTTTCAACATCATTAGAGCTAAACTTCTGAAGTAACTTTCCAAAAAAGAAGTCTCTTCATTCTGGCACCTCTCGGAGTCAATAATGAATCAACACACTTTCTCTATGATAATTTATATCAATTAAAAAATATTTATCATTTTATTCTTAAATGTTCAAATAAATTTGAAGACGTCAAATTTATTTATTTATTTTTTGAGAGTATACTCATTCCCCCCTCCCAAGTTGTAACCCCTTTTCGTTCTTTTTTAATAAAGCTTGCTATAACCGTGGCTTTAGTTAAAAAATTCCTTTTTATTGGAAATTTAATAATTTTAAAAGTATTCAAAGATAACATTCATCATTATTTTAAAAAAATTAATAAAAATGTCTACTCTGTGACATGCATTAAAAGATCATCACTAGATGTATATTCGTGCTTGAGATGTAGTAAAAAAGGGGCTAAGATATGGGGTTCGGACAAGTACTAAAGATTATCGTTTCTCTCACCTCGAACTTTCTCTCTCTTAGTTATTAAAGATGATTGTTGCTCTTGTGGATTTTTTTTTTTCCAAATTTCGGTGATTAGATTTTGTGACCTCTAATAAAAAATTCTATGATCTATAACTCAATAAATTTTGTGAAGAGGATACATTATGCATTCTACATTATACTCATGTTTTATTATTTTGATTTCATCCAGCCAATAAAGAGTAAATTTGGTTCAGGAAAAATTGATCTCAGGCTTTAAGTATTTCTTAATTTTGTTGTATATTAAATAATTTTTAATCCATATCACAGAAGTAACTTGATTATTGAAAGTATAATTAAAAAGTAAGTATTTACTTAATTTTCCCGAGAAAGAATCAAATAACGGGCCACGCCAAGTTTAATCAAGTATTGGATTGGGCAACTTATGCAAATACCCTTAAATTTAGGGGTACTTTGAAAAATCATATGAAATTTTTTTTGAAAATAAAAAGTTATTGTATAAAATTAAAAGTTAAACAATATCACTTTTTTTAACAATGTCACTTTCAAAAGTTTAATATCACCTTTTTTATTAAAAAATTATATACGGGGTCATTTTTATTAAAAGGTGAAGTTTGTCATTAAAAAAAGTGATAGAAATTTCAAAAAAACGATTGAAAAAAGTGAGAAACATTAAAAAAAAAAGTGACAAAAATTCAAACAAAGTGACAATTACTAAAAAAAGTGACAAAAATTATTAAAAAAAAAAAAAAAAAGTGAGAAGCACCACCTCTCACTCTTCAGTTTCTTCGGATCTCATAATTTGGCTAAAGTAATGTGAAGTTTGTGTGGGAATTGTTGTTGATGTGTATGTATCCACGACCACGTACAATATCTTCTCTATGACTAGTACACTATATTTTGCACAAAATACCTATGGCTCTGTAGTTCTATAATACCGGCACACAAGACAGAGAACAGGGAACGAGGATTCAATCCTAGCCCGACCATACACTGAGTCAAACAATAATGTATAGTAACACTAGATGTATCCAAACATTGCCATCTATAATTACTGCAAAAACTCTATGAAAACTGATAGGATATCAACTGGAAAGAGCAAGTTCAAATGAAGAATGCACGACTCTTTAATCAAAGAAAAATTGATTACAGAAAAATAGAAGGATATACGAGTCTCTACTCCACTCCTTACTAAACAATTGTCTGCCCTACCCTTTCTTCCCCTCCTCTATTTATAACCTTCTTCTAACAGAATTAGTTTACCCACATGCCCCCCATAACAGAAATTAGTTTCCTTTCAGCTGTTGAGCCGCTTCTCCATCCTTTTGGAGCTTTCTAGAGTATTTAAATCGTATTGGAGGCCTATCATTACTCCCAGTTTCCAGAGATACCTTGTCCTCAAGGTGGAAGTCGGGAAAGTGTTGCACTACCCATTCGAGGTCGAAACTTAGATGAGGGGGAATTAATGGATTGGCGACCTTCTACCCAGGGCTCTTTTAAGCTGCGAAACATGAAAAACATGATGCATTGCAGAGGAGGGCAGCTTCAAATGATATGCCACTGGGGCAACATGTTTTAGAATTTCAAAAGGACCAAAATACTTTAATTGCCATGTCACTTTTTCATCCTCTACGTAGACACAACCATAGACAGAATCCATCTAGTGCCCAATTTAGTGCAACGGACAATGGCCATTGGAAAGATTCGTTAAGTTCAATAGGTAAACCGTGACGAGATGTAAAGTTCAGTGACTAATGAAACATTGAACTCTATTTATGATGCACTTATCGATCTAATTAATTATGCGTCTAATTTACATTGATCATGTTGTTAAGCATAAGATTATGTTAATAGGGTTGCCCTAGTCAATCATTGCTTCGCTCCAACTTAAAAGTCGTCTATCAATTAGAGTAACCTTTAACCAAAAAAAAAATAATAATAATATATATATATATATATAAGGAAGTGTATATAAATAGTTTAAACTATAAATAATTAAAAATGAAGAATGAATAAATGATTAATACTTTAAATCCCTCAAAATATATAGATAAAAATAAAGCTGGACAAAACTCTCATACCGAACCAACCGAACTGGACCGCTTTTCTTAAGTTAAATACTCGAATGAATATCTAAATCGACAATCGACAAGTTTGATTTAATTCTCGATTTTAAATCAAGAACTGAATAACTCGAACAAAAATTGAATCTCCCTAATTTTTTAAAATTAATTTATTCAAATAAACCAAATTATTTTTTTAAAAATAAATTTGCTAACTAGTTAATTTAGTTCAAATCAAAAATATGATTTTTCCAATTTCTAATATTCAATCTAAATCAACTTAGCCCCCGTTTGAACCACATTATTGTAAAAATAAGAATAGTTGTTATAAGCCCCCACACAAAAGATAAAAAGTCAAATATAATGACTTGATGTGATAGATAACGATCATATTTTTCATTTTAATGAAAAAATAATGGGATTCAAACAGGACCTTAATCAAATTGACTTAAATTTTACCCAAATCTGTTATTCTATCCTAGTACCGTTTGTACCGTTCTCCAGATATCGAATTCAAGCTCGACGCCTCTCTTAATTATTGTGAACTCGCTATCTTTCTCTTTCTGTGATTTTAATAATCAAATCTATAAAAAACTTAGAAAAGAGAGAAACAAAAGACAAATAAGGTTGAACTACGTTATTTTGTAAAAGCTAAGATTGAACATGTCATTAGTTGAATTAATGTAGCTTTGTAAATATTAAAAAAATTAAATTATAGTATGAAACTCAAAAATTGAACCGAATGAAACCGAACCCAAACGATTCCAAAATTAAATTTGGACTCGACCGTTCCACTTACTAAATACCCGAAAATTTCGGGTCCGATTTAATTTTTGTTAGAACCAAGCTGAATCGAACCATATCCAATCCTAATAAAAAATGACTCAAATATTTATAAACATCAACCAAACATAGGATAAAGTTAAGCCTCGTTTGACCCCCATTCTTTCCAAATTTTAATGATTGAAGTAGTGTTTTTTTGAAAATTGTGTAATTGAAAAGGAATGAAATTTTTTTTATTTGCATATAATATTATTTTATGGAAAATTGTATGATTACAAATAAGAGAGAGAGAATAATAAGAAAGACCATGGAGGCCAAATATGGACTAAGTGACCAATGCAAACCTAGTGAAACTTTTGCTCTTCAACAATGCACATTGCCACACTTGGGCTCCGTTTGGCACCCATTTTTTTAAAATACATTTTTCTTTCTCTTTTATTCAATCACACATTTTTTATTAAAATAATATTACACATAAATAAAAAAAATTTCCTTATTTTTTAACTATACATTTTTCATCAATTTACTATTTAAAAATACATTTTTACATAAAAATGTCTTCCAAACACCCGTTTGGGGAATACTCAATAATTCCATATATTTTATTCTCACCAAATGACTAATTTCTCTTTCCAATAATACAAGATTAAAATAAGATAAGTCCATGGCATGATAATCTCTCCTACTGCCGGCGACCTAACAACTCTCGCTCCGATTTGGCTTCGACGAAATATATTCAACCTGATTAAAATAGCCAATGCACTAATCTCAAATCAACTTTGGGTAATTGGCACAAAACGTCCCTACCTTTCAAGTCTATTGTGGAAAACTTCCCTACCTTTCATTTTTTGGCATTTTTGCCCTCATTTCAACCTTTTTTTGCGCTGGACGTCCTTCCGTCTATATTCCGTCAGTTTTTCCGTTAAACATTCGGGTAATTGGCACAAAACGTCCCTACCATTCAAGTCTATTGTGGAAAACGTCCATACTTTTCATTTTTTGACATTTTTGCCCTTATTTCAACCTTTCTTTGCGCTGGACGTCCTTCTGTCCATATTCCGTCAGTTTTTTCGTTAATTAAATACAAAAATACCTTTTTCTTTCCATAAACAAGGGTAAAATTGTCCTCACCCACTTCACCCCTTTTTCCCGCCATCAACTTAGGCCATAAGTAACAATAGCAGCAACATGAATCTGAAAATACTTTAAATGATTAAGTTAAATAAAGAAAAAATATCGTAAACACATTATATTTCACAATTCCACAACTACTGTTGCTGTCATCTTTTGTCACTGGAAAAATTTAGAAAGACATATTAAATGGGTAGTCAATTTATAATGAGTCAATTTAAAATGAGCCATTCATCTTCTCCATTGAGCCAAAAAGAGCCATTCACCATTTTGGCTTATTATAAATTGACTACCCATTTAATACGTCTTTCTAAAATTTTTCAGTGACACAAGATGACAGCAACAGTAGTTGTGGAATTGTGAAATATAATGTGTTCACGATATTTTTTCTTTATTGAACTTAATCATTTAAAGTATTTTCAGATTCATGTTACTGCTACTGTTACTTATGGACTAAGTTGATGGCGAGAAAAAGGGGTGAAGTGGGTGAGGACAATTTTACCCTTGTTTATGGAAAGAAAAAGGTATTTTTGTATTTAATTAACGGAAAAACTAACGGAATATGGACGGAAGGACGTCCAGCGCAAAGGTTGAAATGAGGGCAAAAATGCAAAAAAAATGAAAGGTAGGGACGTTTTCCACAATAGACTTGAAAGGTAGGGACGTTTTGTGCCAATTACCCTTTAATTAACGGAAAAACTGACGGAATATGGACGGAAGGACGTCCAGCGCAAAGAAAGGTTGAAATGAGGACAAAAATGCCAAAAAATGAAAGGTAGGGACGTTTTCCACAATAGACTTGAAAGGTAAGGACGTTTTGTGCCAATTACCCAATCAACTTTTATTAGCATAAGTGATCACCGAATTAATAATTAAATCACCTGGTGATCTTCGAAGCTTGGAATCCAATCATTTGTTGCTGGGTTAGTTTTGAAAATTGTCTGTTTAAATCCTCCATTAGTGCCATGGCTTCCTCGTAATTGAAAATGCTCTTCATTTCCGCTCTTTTCCATGTCCCTTTTCATAAAACCATTTCCTGTCTGTTCAGTACAAGAAACCAGAAACCCCCAATTTAATAAGTATTTATGCCAACATATACAAATTCAACAAGCAAAGAAAAGGAATAATTAACCGAACCGTGCGATGCTGTTTATCAATGGATTCCAACTCTTTGTAGTACTGGGTCTCCACAAACTCGTCGTCTTCATCCCCACTTTTCGTTCCAGAAAATATGGTCGATTTGCCGGCGGTGGAAGCTTTAGAATATGATCGAAGGAGGTGATCGTAATTTGAATGTGTACGTAGAGGGAGAAAGTATTGAGAGAATTCTTGAACTTTATCCAGTGGGAAGGCGAAAATTTGAAAACTGCGGGCCAAGACAAAAAATGAAAAAAAGGCTCTGGAGTTGGTGCGCCTTTGGCATGTTTACTTGTCCCCTCGTAGGTCCAAATTTAAATTTTAGCCGACCTACATTTTTCCAATATATATATATATATATCCAAATTTAAATTTTAGCCGACCTACATTTTTCCAATATATATATATATATATCCAAATTTAAATTTTAGCCGACCTATATTTTTCCAACATATATATATATATTTTTAATGGAGTCCAAACATAGGGTATTTTTAATTCAAAATCAATACACTACTTTTTAATTACATATTTTGTGGGATACACAACTTTTTAAACACATAATTTATCAACTTTTATCAAACTTTAATAAAAATTAAATTTTAATCTCCATCCATAGGGGGTTGGAAACATTTTTAGAAAATATAAAGTAAGTACATTTAAACTATTAATTATTATAATCCACACATTTTATGATTCAACTATTATTTCCCCTAAAAAGTTTCTAAGTTATTGATAATATTTTTCAAACAGACGCATATAAGTTTATTTTGTTAGTCGCTATTTGGTACAGATTCTTTAATTAAAAAAAATTTCAAACTCGTTTCCAATCACATTTTTTCCCAATAAAATCTTGTTCTTTGTTGTTCCCAATAGATGTTGGCTTAGATTTAAAGTTAGCATCACTTAAATTAAATGAGAAAACATTGAAGATGAAGTTGTAGTTCTTTTTTTCAGTAAATTGAAATAAGCAATTTGCTATATAAAATGTTGTTTTTTTCTTAAAATATTGTTACATGTACATCTTTTTTTACATTTAGTTTGATATTATTGTGAGATGGAAGGTTTTTACACATTGACTTTAACAACACATTAAATAATCAAAAGAATAATGTTATTTGCAGTCACTCACTGCGACAGTCACGTCTACATAACATACACATGATATGTGATTATGTGATGCATAAATGTGGTTTTTTTTATTAACTTATAGATCAAATAACTAACTGTTATGTATATGCTATATAGAGCGACTATCACAGTGAACAACTGTGAATAGTATTCTCATAATTAATGGCAAAATTTTTGACAAGTGGGGTGTCAAACTTAGCCCCTATTTGGTGGGATTTAAAATCAAATTTTTAGTAAATTTTGATAGAAGTTGATTAAATATATGGTTAAAAAGGTATCAGACCCATAAAATATGTGGTTGAAATTAATTATTGATTTTAATTTAGATTAAAATTTAAATTGTAATCGATACTAAACAGGAGTTTAATTAATGTATACTAAGTGTGTACAACTAGTTTTCTAGGTCCAGACTCTGTTGAAGCCCAAACTGATTTCACTAAGAAAACATCAAATTTGCGTGAAAATCCTCTCTTACCCAACATCATATTTTTGACATCAAATTGATATTGATGAGCAGTGGTCATTTGATATAACATATTGAGCTTTTTCTTATTTTTCTTTTTATTTTGCCCTTCATTTTATATTACAACAAATTTTAATTTCTATCATGTCATTTTATTATTTAATAATTTATATTTATTATAAGTTGATTATTATTTTTCTATAAATTTATGTTTCTTGTGTGAAACTTTTTTTATTATATGTATTTTTTTTAATATAATTTGATGTTAAATGTTGTATCTTTTCTAATTATGGTATTAAATATAATGCTTTTTAAATTTACTAATAAATACAATATTAAATTAACTAAATGTAATTTTTAATTTAATAATTTTAGTAGCAATATAATTTATAATTAAATATTTTTGAAATATATTAATTGTTGAGAATTAAGAAATAAAAAAAATAAAGAAAACAATGTTCATTGGAATGGTAAAATAAATTGGAGATGATTAGAAAATATGATGTGAAAGTTGCATCATTTTAATGTCAAGAGTTGAAGATTGCCTACCAGTGATGTTAAACTTGGTCTAACAATATGATCCTCTCTGTCTATCTCATCAACGAAATTATGTCATCTGCGTAAAATATGATTTATAGGTCTCACAACTTTTTCAATAACAAGTTTTCATCGACTCTTTTCTAAATTTACTAAAAATCTGGTTTTATCTAAACCAAACATGAGGTAGTGATAATAATCTATAAGTTATAATTTTAATCTACCATCAACTCATATTCGTTGCATATAACTGTATTGTGAGTGGGAGAAGAATATTAGCCGCTTAAATCACTAATGATACATCAATTTCAATCCTCTGTACTTTGAGACAGTAACCCAACTCTACACTTTGATAAAAATAAAAATAAAAAAATAGATTTTTAGTAGAGTTTGATAAAAGTTGATTAAATATGTGATTGAGAAGTTGATAAAGTTGCGAGTCACATAAATGAATTTTAAAAAATGGGGACCAAAGAAGATCTAAATATAATCAAATTATTTTTTAATTGCACGAAAGATTCACAACTTTTGCTTAATATGACATTTATATTATCAATCTTTTCTCATCGTATTTTTATATAACATTCTCGTGATAACAATTTCTGTCCAAAAATTTTGTTATGGAGAAAAAAGACTTAATTATTTGTCCTTATATTTTTAAATAAGCTCAAATAAAAACGAATATTAAAGGTCTGCTGGATTTTGATAAATGTTGTAATTAAAAAGCTAATGAAAACACTAAATTTTAGGAAATCTGTGGTTAAAATTAATTATCAACATTAAACTTTTTTTTATTAACATTTAAGCTATCCCAAACAAGCACAAAATTAATACAAATTATTTGTCTCTCATTTTAAAGCAAACTAGTATATAGTTGTTGGAGAAAAATCGTATTTAAAGATAAGATTGGTTAATGAAATGTTAAGGATAAAAATGGGATTAAAAAAGAATTAAGAATATAAATGTGACAATAAATAAATATTACGTTTTTTTAATATAGTTAAATGTGGTGTGTTTATAAAATGATGTGGTGTGAATAGAGCGACCTTTTGCAGAAATATGGATCAAAACCATATTCCCAAAAGTAAAAAATGAAAATAAAAATGTGGCTATAAAGTTACATAAATACTGCCCCCACCCCTCGGCGGGACGGGTCACCTCATACTCATACTCATCCACAAGCACAACACAACCTAAATTAAAGGTGTACAAGAAAAGTCCAATATTAAGTCTATTTGTTAAATAAACAAAAAATTAAAAAATTGCGCATAGTATTATTTAGTGCTGTCTATCAACAAGATTCCACACATGTTTTCTTGATATTGAATTGGATTAATAAGAGGAATTCCAAGTCTTAGTAATCATCTCACCGAATTTTGCAAGAAGCTCTCATAATTTGATTATTAAAATGGTTAGTTTAATTAGCTAATTTGTATGAATTCTTCAAAATAATTTGATAATTCAATTAAAGATAACATTAATTGATACTAGATTAAATACATAGTTCTCCTGAAAACGATATTTTACTTACACTCTATTACTTCTTTACGATACCGTACACTTGCGAGAATTCGTATGATCACACCTCATTGGCGACAATTAGTTTCTTGATGGAGGATTTACATTGTTTTTTACGATCATAATTATTTCTATTGTCAATAATCACCTTCTAACAAAATTTATGAATTTGTAGATGAGCCCTTTTTTAGGTTCTGAGTCTTCTCACTGACTTGTTTCGACCTGGCATCGGTTTTGGACGATTGTTCCTCGCCCTTTGAAACTAACATGCCAGGAGGAACTTAAAATTGTTTTTGCATTTGTTCTCAACTGCAAATGTTCAATTTAGCGCAAAAAGGGAGAAGGAAAAGAATTACCAGAATCTGGCATTCTCCTGTCTATATATGCGGGAAAAATAATAATAATAATTAACAAAAAAACTTAAAAGATTTTGTTTTTCTCTTTTTGTTACAGCACAGATTCAATGTCTCAACGACGAGTTTGGTTGATAATGAAAATCTGCAAGAGTTCGAAATTCACTTATAAGAAACAAATTTCCCTTGCTCACATGCCTGCGCGTATATGGAATGTTTGATGCAAAAGCTAAAAAGAAACATGTCTGTTACCCATCAAATGTGAACACAAAATAATTTGCAGAAATCAATCTAAAAATCATGAAATCTATATTAACATATTCATTGTACTCTGTTTTCTTCAATTCTATTTATCTTTCTTCTTTTTCCCTGTTTCACCATATTCATGGTGCTCTGTTTTCTGATGTGTAATATTCATAAAGACAAAATGGGCAACAAGCAGATAAAATAGTCCCATAATCAGCATCCTCTCTATTATTTTATAATATATGCAGAAAAACAGTACAGCAACACAACTTAGTATGGCGATAGATAGAGCAATTCATGAAGATTGATGATTATTTGTTAACAGAAAGAAAATATAAAAAACAGAGGATGCCTGGGTTGATCAAGTCAAGGACTGAAAGCTTTCACGCAATTAAGCTTCTTTAGCTTTCGAAAGAAAGACTTGAAGATTCTGAGCTTGATGGCTCCTCGCCTTGGGACGGTAAAACTTCCAGATGGCGCACCCATTTTCTTTGGTTTTTCTGCAGGCTTGTCTGCAAATGGGGTATTTGCAGATTCTGGAACCACCCAATTCTCCATGTCCATGCTCTTTTTCTCCATCTTTATGCGAGTTTGTGGGAGTGAGTGAGAGAGAGACTATTAAATTTTTGAACAACTCGCTTACAAAAACTAATATGGGAAGTGGGTTCCATGCCAGACCTTTGGTGTGCGCGAACACCAACCCTGTAACCCTAAAAAATCCTTCACTAGTAACTGGAATCAGGGTTTGTGAAAGCGAAAGCAAAAGCTAATGTGAGAAGTGGGTCCCATGCCAGACCTTTGGTGTGCGCGAACACCAACCCTTTAACCCTAAAAAATCCTTCACTAGTAACTGGAATCTGGGGACACCCGGTTAAATGTAAAAAATTGAAAATAAAAAAATTAAAAGAAACTTCGTTCATTCAATTATTCGACTCATAAAAGTCATACTTTTTTGGTTTAGTATGCAATTTTTCCATCATATAAATAGAATATTATTCTTTGTATCTAAAATTTATCCAAAATATATTTATTAATGTATAAATAAAACTTCTTTTAAAAATTTTAAAAAATAGATTTAAAATCTACAAAGAATTGTCGCATTAAATAGATATCAGCTAAAAAATGAGTTTATGTGTAAAATTATTGGAAGAATGTATTCTTGAAAATAGATCTGAAGGAAAAATGAGTTTTGTAAAAATGTTTTGAGTATCATTATTAAAATATTAATTTTTAAACTCATTTTCAACTAAACATTTTCTCGATAAAATAATTTTATAATAAAATATTTTACATGTAAATCAAAAAATATTTTTCTACATTAGCCATATATTTTTAAAAAAATTATTTTTACAAAACTCATTTTGAAGAAATAATGGGCATCAACAGGGCTATATTTCAATCGCATATTCTCTAAAAATAAATAATAAAAAATTTATATTACGTAGAGATGGGGTTGGGACAAATCCTAAAGATAATTGTTTCTCTCAACTCCAACTTTCTCTCTCTTAATTATTAAAGGTAATTGTTGCTCTCGTGGATTTTTATTTTATTTTATTTTTTCCAAATTTTGGGTGATTAGATTTTGTGACCTCTAATAAAAATTTTGTGATCCATAACTCAATAAATTTTGTGAACAGGATATATTATGCATTATACTTATGTTTTATTATTTTGATTTCATCCTACCAATAAAGAGTAAATATGGTTCAGGAAATATTGATTTCGAGCTTTAAGTATTTCTTAATTTTGTTGTATATTAAATAATTTTTTTTATCCTTAACGTAGAAATAACTTGATTATTGAAAGTATAATTAATTAAAAGGTAAGGATTTACTTAATTTTTGCCGAGAAAGAATCAATTAATGGGCTCAAGTATCGCAATATAACACAAAGGAATTCGACAAATTTTTAATTATCGGTCTGATGAAATGTAATTAAAATTAGTTATTGATTTTTACCTAAAAATTTTAATAAATATTCTATGCCAAACAGGACGAGTAATTCTTGTTATACATAGAAATGATAATTATATGACATGTCATGCTAAGAATGAAAATTATGTTAACACCTCATTGATGAAGCATAATTAGTTCTTAACTCTCTATAGAGTGTTCATATTTTGTTCAAACAAATATTAGGCCAACAGTATAAAATCTCATTCTTTTTAAAAACTTTGAATTTTTGTTTAAACTTAAAATAAATAAATATCCTTGTTTGAACCACATTATATATCTAAAAATGCATTTTTGAATAATATATTGATGGGAAATGTGTGATTAAAAAATAAAAATAAAAATTGGATTTGCGTGTAATATTATTTTATTAAAAAATGTGTGGTTAAAATGATGTCAAATCACCGTTTAAAAATGTATTTTTTAAAAAATGTGGCTTAAACATGGCCGCTCATAATGTTAAAAGCAAGTGCTAATTAGTAACTACTGAGACACATCCTTGCTGCTACTCTTTCAAAAGATTGCTACTTCTCAAGCAGGCTTTTGAAATGGCTCTGATACCAAATATCCAGAAAGAGTCCCTAATTAAAAGGGATTAATAACAAAGCTAACAGAAACGTTAAAAAAACCTAAGCTTTAACAAATTGTACGAACATCTGAAATTGTCCATATGACAGATCATTCACAAATTGGATCTCTTAGATAAGCTTTGACAGAGGCATCATTCTTCTCCCCCATCTGTTTTTGAAATGAATCCCAAATATTTCTTTTTTATTCTGCACGTTTAAGGGTCTGTTTTAGCATTTTTTTATGTCTTGAGTCAATTTTAGGCTATTTTTGTCATTTTAGCAGTTTTGTAATTTTATTAAAATATGTTTTGCAGTTTCTTAGTTTATTCGAATATATCTACCGAATTAAGATTTTTTTAACTCTTTAAATATTTTTTTAACGGTTTGAAAACCGGTTATTAACACAAAACGTCCTTCATTTGAAGTTTATTGTGCAAAATGTCCTCACCTTACATTTTTCACCCCTATTTACACATTTCATTGTGAAAATTATCATTTTCATCCAATTTCTCTATACAAAGCTATAAAATGACGAATATATCTTCTTATTTAAATAAAAAAGAAAAAAAAACTAATTGCAAACATAGTCTCAAATATTTTAAAAAGTGCAAACAAGTTCTAAATAAATTATTAAAAATAGAAATAATAAAAAATAGTAATTCTCTTTCTTTTTCATTCCTCCTCCTACTCCACCACCGGATTAAAGAACTAATCCTACTTGAATTTTCAGATAACAGAAAACCCATCACATTTGAATCCACGGTTCTGATCCACAATCTTTTCTTGATGAGTTGAATATATATCTGATCAATTTTTTGTAACTAAATTAATCCCTTGTGTACAAAACATAACATGAATTTCAAATAGAGAGACGAAGAGCAAACAATTCTTAATGAATTTTAGGAATTATTACAAACCACCTCAGATTTCTGGGGCAGCTGCAGACCGCACGCATAAGCTCGCCACCTGTTCCTTCTTCTCCGTTGGCCATGAATTCTCGACATCCGTCCACAGCATAGCCGCCGATGTTGGCTGCTTAGTTTTTCTGACATTCTGCATACATCCCCCACCAACCGCCACAACTACCTCCATTTTCCCTCGCCTCCTCTCAAAAATGAAATCCCCTCACAATTTCCCCTTCACCGCCCGATTCCCACGAAATCCTCTCAAATCCAAGAAAAACTCCTCTTCTTCTACGGTTATCGGAAGGCCACCCACTTAATAAGAATTTTTGAATGGTTTTACGAAGAAAAAATGGTGGCTTCTGGGATTGGGATTTCAAGTTTTCAAATTCCAATTTTTCTTTCAAGTTTTCAAATTGCAATTTTTCTTGGTGGGTTAGGTGAGAGGGTGTTGGGTTGGCCAGGTCGGCGATGGCCGATGGGTTTTCTATTATCTGAAGTACAATCGGGATTAGTTCTTTAACTTGGTGGTGGTGGCGTTGGAGGAGGAGTGGGCGAAGGGAAGAAAGGAAGAGAATTCCCCCCTTTTTTTCTTAATTAATTTATTTAGGACGGGTCTGCAATTTTTAATAATATTTGAAAATATTGTTGCAGTTTGTTTTTATTTTTCTTTTATTTTTCTTTTATTTTATTTAAATACGAGGATATAGTCATACATTTTTATTGAGAAATTGGATAGAAATGAAGATTTTTATAATAAAATTTGTAAAAAATGATAATAAAAAACAGTTGTGCTATCTGCACAGACTCTTTTACACAGGATCTGTACATGTGCACACATATGGGGGTAGATCCCACATATGAGGTGCACATGTGGGGTCCATCCCATGTGAGAGCTCCTTTACCACCTTGTGCAAAAGAGTCTGTGCAGGGAGCTTTATTCAATAAAAAAAAGTATGATGAGACATTTTGCACATTAAACTTCATATGGATGTTTTGTGCTATTAACCCGTTTGAAAACCCTACAGCCATATTTTTATTAATAACAATTCAGTTTTTCCGTTATCTAGTGAATTCCAATATTTGTCACGTCCATTTAAGCAAAATTCGAATAGCACATGTTTGTGTCTTATGAATAAGATTTTTGTTTTTTGTTTTGTTTTTTTCCTTCCTACATCACACTTGGCAGTTACTTTCATAATATTTGACAAGGATTTACACTTTTTTTTTTTACAATTATTATTATTTCTATCGACGATAATCACTTTCTAACAAATTTTATGAATTTGCAGATGAGCCTTTTTAAGGTTCGAAGAATGGAATCTTCTCACCAACTTGCTTCAACCTGGCATCGATTTTGCAAGATTGATCCTCGCCCTTTGAAACTAACATGCCAGAAGGAATTTAAAATTTTGTTTGCACAAAGATGGAAGGAAGACTGCATAAGGAGCTGCACATTTGTTCTCAACTGCAAGATCTCTTCAATTTAACGCAAAAAGGGGGAAGGAAAAATGTGACATCAGAATCTGGCATTCTCCTATCTATGTTGACAAAATTAAGGATTCTGTTTTTCTCCTTTTTTGAACTACACAGATTCAATGTCTCAATCCTACTTTTGGTTGATAATGATAAATCGGAAAAGTTCGAATTTCACTTATAAGCTACAAATTTCCCTTTTCTCGTATGCCTGCCCATATATAGTATGTTTGATT